GGGGGGGGGGGGGGGGGGCATCAACGAGGGGGAAGCGGGCAATAGTGGACGTTGGCTGCACAATGGTTGGGGTCGTTGGCATCCCGCACCGTGAGGTAGTTTGCGTTGGAGGGGGGGTTCTTGACGGAGCATCGACTCACCCCCGACAAACGACAGCCTTCACGAGGGTCAACAAACACTGTTGTAACACAGTTTGTTGTGCTTCGGATTTTGTGCTAGCATAGAACCGGCAGGTCAACAAAACATACGTCCGTGTAACAACTAGCGGGAAGAAAAACGCTCGCCAACAAATGTGTTTCGGTTAACGTGTGCGAGCATCGATCGCCCTAACCAGCACATCAAACGAATGTACGTCGATGTCAAAAGCGCAAACTATAATATTACACGCCAACAAGAGAGAGTGCATTCGTGTTTTCTCCGAAGGCGGAATCGGCTGCCGCTGTACCCGTATTGCTGCTGAGACGTTGAGGCTGACGCTCACTGGCGTCGACTCGGTCATGAAGGAGCTCGCGCTGGACACATCTGGAAGCGACACACCCTCCCCCCTTCCTGGTCGCCACGAGCACACGAGCATAGTGTCAGAGGGTGGGCACCTGCCGTCCCACTCCGAGCGGGGGGCAAGGGGGGTCCTGGCGCAGGGCGGACTGCTGGCTGAGGACCTCGGTCGCCGGGCTGAAGTCGCAGTGGTGTTTGTGGTCGCCTGATGGTTGCGGCGACAGGTAGAAGAGGCCTCTGCTAACCGTCACCACGAACACCACTGCGACTTCAGCCCGGCGACCGAGGTCCTCAGCCAGCAGTCCGCCCTGCGCCAGGACCCCCCTTGCCCCCCGCTCCGAGTGGAATGGCAGGTGCCCACCCTCGTCAACCATTATCCTGGCGAAAAGGATCTTGCATCGCTGCTGGATGTGTCCAGCGCGAGCTCCCCATGACCGAGTCGACGCCGGTGAGCGGCAAAATATGTCAACGCATCTACACAGCAGAACGTAGGGCAGACATGAGCTTGTTGAACGAGCAAGTGCACGAGACAAACGAACACCTCATCATTTACGAGTGTGCGGGTCAAAGGGTCACGGCCTTGTAGATGTACCACACATATACCGCGGCCGCCTGGACTACCACAACACAAGCACGAAAAAAAAATGAAAAAGAGCAAGAGCGTGTGTCCAACGCCATCGCAAAGTACCCACCGGTTTCCAGGAACAGCTCGAGGAGGCCGGACGACACAATGGCCGCGGCGGAGCTGTCCTTTCCGTTGTCGGTGGCCGATTCGGGCGCGTCGAAGTCGGCGGGGGGGATAAGGTCTTCCGGAAGGTTGTCCTCATAGTACCTGGGACAAACACAAAACAAAACAGGGTCCCGGAGAATCAATCGTAATGGCAAGCTACACCGCTCCAACCGCTCCTGTGCCTGTGATTCGTTTAATTAATTTTTCCACAGGGAGCAACAGTCGAATACCATGGAAAGGGGGGAGTATCCAGAAGTCGCGCAATATGTTGGCGTCATTCATCAGTGGATTCAAACCCTTTGTTGGGGCAAGCACACTGGCACCGCATTTCGTAGGCTTTCGGACGAGTGAGCGGAAATGTAGGAGGCTCCGCGTGCTTACACAGCAGGATTCACACACACCAACTACCAAGGCACACGAACATATGCTCCTCACCCCCCCCCCCCCCCCCCCCCCCCCCCCCCCCCCCCCCCCCCCCCCCCCC